TTATCAAGTTTTATTCTTTTTTTTTATGTATATATATATGTGTGTGTGTATATATTACATATATATTTAGGAACCTGAGAGTTCACCCGATAAAAAATCATGGGATAAGAATAGTTCATCTAACAATAAATTTTCAAATGGTGCCGAATCACCAAAATCGGTTCGCAAAAGGTTTGGTTCAGCTTCAGAGGATACACTTTTAAAAGTAAATGGTGTCAATGATGGGGCTGTACTCACTGCTCAAGAAATGGAAGCATTTAAAGCAGAGATTATTAAGGAAGTGCGTAAAGAATTTCAAAAGATGAAACAAGAGATTGTAGATGGTAAGAATATGAAGAATGAATTCGAGATGGAAATTTCAAATGATTAAAATTGCTTATGTATTTTCTTTGTTTTTTTATACTCTCAGCTGTCAGAACGGAACTAAGTAGAAGATAAGGATGAGATGCGGACCAGTTTGAACTAAAACGAAGAAAAAAATGAAAAATTCTACCATTGTGTAGATCAACCGAAACGATCATCGACAACCGTACACGAATTTTTTTTTACTACGTATTCGCGAAAATGGAATGCAGTTATACCCCATGTATATCAGACATGTTTGTGTGTAAGTACGTTATATCTAATCTAGTGTTTTAAGTGAACCGTACCCTTTCGTTGCTTACTTGAGCGAATGGTAAGCAATGTGATTTTTGGATAAAATTGATTCTGATTCTACCAATTCGATGCACACTACATTTTAGCATTCATATTAGTCCTCGGTGGTATTGTACGTTTTTTTTATTTTTTTTTATATTTTTTTATGATTTTTTAAATTAATAACGATTATCATATATACTGTTTTCATAATTTATTCATAATTGAATCGAACAATCTAATGTGATATAACGTAATGCTGATCTCACGCACAATGGAAAACGCTTGCGTTTCTATGTAAATATCACAAAACTCAATTCAGCAAGACATACGTAAAAGGTTATAAAAATATTGCTACTTTAAGACGTATTTAAAATATCGAATTAAAAATATTTACAATTGAATTTTGTTGCGGTCATAATGTAATTTTATCCTTTTAAACATTTTTTTTTTTTTTTATACGTAATATACATTACATTACATATCGATATCACTTGAATTTTTTTTGTACATACCACCACTTCCATGTACAGATTTCATTAATACGCACAGTTCAATACATTCCAAATCAAAGTTTTTCGGTATTGCAAAACAGGTAGAACAGAATAAAGTGATCATCAACCAACTGCCACACGATTTTCCAGTAAAGTTAGTTCTCGATCTACTCGAGAAATATGTTTCACAATTTCTTTTAATACGAGAATATATCCATTATCCGATCGTTAAAAAATTACGATCGATTTTATATTTACGCATCATTGATCGTTACAAATTCAAAATTCAACATATGACAGGGCGATCATGTTTGCGACCGATATAGTATACTACTCTCCGTTCTTATATTTTTTTATCGTCTCTCGTACGATTCTCACAGAAAATGAGAAAATTAACGTTGCAGTTCATATATATTCTATGTATCTATAATATAACCATACGTACGCTGATTCGCACCAGCTTATTGGCATTTATTGCATTCAAACTGAACAGGATCGGAGAGTGTTAGCAATCAAGAATAAGAAAGAAAGTGGAGAAAGAAAGAGAGAGAGAGAGAGAGAGAGGGAGAGAAAGTGAGAAAGTGAGAGAAAGAAAGAGAGAGAGAGAAAGAGCGATAGGAAGAAAGTGTGTGAAAGAAAGAAAAGTAAGAGAGAAATGAAGAGAAAAAGAAAAAAAGATTGTCATATCCATTCCTCGCAGTATTCATTTATTTCGTAACGCGCTAAAATCAATATCATTCGATGTATGATATGATTCGATATGATATAACGTCATGATGTAAAATTAAATGACGTGTAAAATCGATGATAAATATCGATGATTCATTATATTAACTACAACATTATCTATCTTATTTTTCTTTTTTTCTTTTTCCTTGCTTCATAAGACGGATTTATGACGACTGATTATTAAATTAACGCATTAATTAAGAGCGCAACGATAATGTTAAGTATTATCAACTAAATTTTTTATTTCAATTTCTAGTCGTATAAGAAAAATAATAATGAAAAGTATAATCGCTAACACTAATATCTACTATTTCAATATTTCGTGAGATAAGGTTATAAGAGATAATCTCAATGCGATTTGAATCTTTAAGAATTGAATTTAAGAATTATGATATGATATTTGCGCGTTTTTTCACAATTTATCTATAAATATCTATTATTATCTATAAAAATGATTTATTTTAATTTCATTTTTTTTTTCCTTCGTATCGCGCAATCGTATCTTAAAATTGTAATTACATATTAAATTTTTGTCTTAAGGTCGAATAAGAAAAAAAAAAAACTAGTATCTAATCTAAAATTTTTTAATGCTCGCATAATCTCGACTTAAGACGTTTCGTTCACAAAGTATCGATACAACCGACTGAACTGAATAAAATAATGCTCTCGTTGTTACGATAAATACGTATATATTCTTGGCAAATCTTTTTTTTTTTTTTTTTTTTTTTTTTTTTTTTCCACCCCGGCCTTTTCAATTTAAAAAAAAATTTCCCCTTTTTTTCAAAAACACATTTTAATTTTTTTGAAAATTTTTTTTTTTTTTTTTCCACCCCGGCCTTTTCAATTTAAAAAAAAATTTCCCCTTTTTTTCAAAAACACATTTTAATTTTTTTGAAAATTTTTTTTTTTTTTTTTTTTTTTTTTTTTTTTGCCACTCGATGCATTTCACATTGAAACAATATATTCCGTTCTGTCTTATCGCATTCCACTATCACTGTACGACTTTCGAAAGTTTTTATGCTTATCGACTGTTTATATTTTGCTACTTGATTTCATTTCCATATTAACTTTTAAGGCTTTCCACGGTAATGAATAATCTTGCGATCGCGTTGCGTCGTCTTTTAAAAATAACGATTCGACGAAAACTCTTGTTTAAACAATTTACAAGGCTAAATTTTAATAAACGATCGAACCAACAGGTGGAACAGGTATGCATGCGTGTAAGAATAATATAACGTTGAGTGTCTGCGTGCATATGTGTATGCGCGCGCGCGTGCTTGTGTGTGATTAAAAATGCGAACGTGAATGTTTGGACGGTGGGTGTTGCGTGTAAAGAAGAGTAAAGGGGAAAAGTTTGGGCGCGGCAATGGTAAACGTTCGATGAATATAAGGTGAAAAAGTGAATCGCACGGGGTACGAGAAAAGTACGACTAGTGTTAGATGCATTTATATTATATTTAACATATGTATATTTATATATACATATATCATACATGGATAATTTTAATAATGACAGGATTAACGTGCGAGCATAAAGAGTGTTTTGTTACGATTGAAATTATTTAAGGAGCGTAAGAGATAGCATGGCGATAACGGATCGACATTGCTTTTTACCGATACCGATGAAATGGTGTCGTCGGAATCGGGGCCAAGTCGGGAGATATACCGTGTCCAGGGCCATTATAAACGATCTGTATTATAATTAATGTATCAGCAGCAAGCAAAATACACGTATGATATGAAAAATAACGAGTGAAATACTATTTTATGTATTACGTGCGACGTAACGGCAACGAGAGGTCGAAAAAGGCATTGTTTATTTTAAACGCTCCCCTCTTTATATCCGTTGTTCGATAATTTGCTCGCCGATTTATTATTTTCTTAATCCGAAATATACCGATAACCGATCGATATTTCAACGTGTGCATACGTACACAATGTTGCGCGCGTATGTACAATACCTTGACTCGCATTAACTTCTTAATCGTCGATCGTCGAGTCTCGTCGCCGTTTCCCGTCGTTGTTTATAATATAAATACACGTATAGATATGTCTACGATGCAAATTAAAAAAGGATAAAATCATTTGAAAACAATGTGGCAATCACGAACATTATTCCTGATAAACATTATATAAAAAACGGTAGGCTGAAAAAAACATAGCGATGATGATTTAGCAACGTTTACGCGTTCTCGATTATACTATGCAGATTCAGAAACGTTCGCACTCCCCCCTCCCCCCACCCGCCCCTTGTGTCGTTTAGCAACAAGAAACATCGATGATATCGACCCTTAGAGAAGAAATGTTCTTACTTCATCAAGTGGAATTGCAACTACAACGACAACGACGGAACGTATCCTAGACTCATCGAAGAGAGAAGGCTCGACGAGGCCACGTAGCGTATTCTCTATTAGCGTTTAAAAAGCGATCGCGCGCGCGCGAAGGAAAATTTATACGAAATACAATTAGCAGCGTTAATACGAAAGTTTGAAGAATCGATGCCGAACACGCACTGTTTCTTAAAACGTATCTTGAAAATATTTGTATGTAAATGAATGACGAAATAATAAAAAGTATACGCTCAATCTATTCTTTAGAGTGAATTTTCCTTTCTCGAGCGAGATTAACGAGAAAAAAAAAAAAAAGAAAAAAAAGAATTGTTTTCGTTCAATTACATATAGATCGCAATGCATCTTTTGCGAATACGATTCGTAACCCGATTTCTACGAACCGTGAAACTTCCTCATTTATCATCGTCGTCAGTGAGAAAAATCGAGACTCGAGACTCGACCGTTCTCGAGAAATCCATTCGTATTTCGCATTGCATGCGGATCTCCACTGTTACTTGCTGATTTTCGATCCATTTACCATTATAGCAACGATGCGTCACTGGCTCGTAATATGACGTAAGAGAAGGGCGGTAGGGAGGTTTGGCATCGATGGGAGAAAGATAAGCCATACGGAGCCGAGGGCTGGTTGAGAAGGGATCGAGAGAAGGGGAAAGAACGAATGACGCATCGTAAGAGGCAGGATAGCGCGGAGGATATCTAGCATGGCCGATCGCGGTCACGGCGTTTCCGTTCCACGATTAGATGTTTACACGTAGGTAGAAACGACTTGCTCGTTAATCGTGTGCGCGCCATGGGTGCGACCATGGGTGTTTCACGGTTCGTTGCGAATCGATAACGCGTACAGAGTATCGAGTGAGCGCGACGCGGCGTCTCGATCGATCTAAGTAGTAGTAGCAGTAGTAATAGTAGTAATACTAGTGGTAGTAATAGTAATGTAGTAGTAGTAGGAACGTTCGCCGTACCATTGCCCGACGCGGCGTCGGTGAATCGTCGAAGGAGATCGCCTGGCGCCGGTTATATCGTGCGTTCTCTCGCTAGTTCGATCGCGTTGTGCCGCGCGTACTTCACTTGGACGCTCGGCGGCGTAACGCGACGACGGAAGTTAAGAAAAACGCGGCAAACGAGCGTGGAAGTGACTTGGAACTGGTCAGGCGGGAAAAACCAGGTCACTCGTCGTTGGTATCGCGTGGTATCGGTGACTGGAGGAGAAGACGAAAGAAACGAAAGTCGTAAAGGTAAATGCGGCAAATGCCGTTGACGCGCTTGCGCCTCACGGAGCACGGACGACCACGCGTTGCGACAACAGAGGAGCGGAAAGGGAGAGAGAGAGAGAGACACGCGGCGCAGTGTGAGATTTTTGGAGGCGACGCGAGGTGGGCTGTGAGGGAGCTGCGACGAAGTTGCCGGCGAATAAACGAGAGAGTAAAGAGATACGATAATTGACTGCGAGTAAAACGAATGAAAAAGAGATGCTTCGTGTGTGCACGGCATCGTGTAAAGTATCTCGCGTGCCGGATCCTAGGTTAAACGTAGCGCTACGGTGTGCGGTAGCTTTGATCGATTTGTTGTTTGGTGCATAATAACACGTGATCGTCGAAAACGAAGAAGAAATTGAAGCTGGTATAGGAAGGAAATGCGAATTGGTGCCGGTTGTCTTCATTCGCTCGTCGGATCGATGGAAGTCGGTGGTACAAAGTGGTGAATTCCCTCGTTAGTTTTGCAACCCACTTCATCCGATTCGTTTCATAATACACATCCTTCGGAGTAGAAGGAATACGAGTTTGGGAATCGGTGAATCACTGTTGATAATTTCACGTGAGAACCGTGACCAATATTTGGCACGTTGAAACGTGAATGGATCGACGTACCGCGTGTTTCGCATCACTCTTGAAGATTGAACGTTTATTAATAAAATAGGTTATTTTTTACCTGCGCTGAAAAACATTACAGGGAGACGAGACAATCGATTTTTTTAATCCTCGCTTTGCTTCGTTGCACAACGCGAAAAAATGGTTTTTCATTTTTATGCGAAAGATTAGAGATTCGCAAGAATCGAAGATTTATCGATTATTAGAGATTCGAGATCGAATAGACGAAGGAGATCGCGTGTTCGTTAGATTTGCTCGATCACTGATCGAGCAACACGCGTTCGACCGTGTCTCGGACGGTCGACTGATAGCTATCACGAAAGCTGCCACAAATAAAACATGATGCGATACGAGAATCGCGAGTGATGACGCATTCAAAGACACCGCGCCTGTAAGGGAACTCGACCATTGACCGAACACGAAAACAACACTGATAAATTTTCATGCCTTGTATCTTATTTTTTATGTTTGCGATCGTTTTTCTTTTTTCTTTTCTTTCTTATTCCACCCAAGTATGAAATCATTCTTTTGAAATATACTCAACGTTTACTCTCGTCGATCGAAGATTAATTTCATTGCTCGATCGACGAACAATAATTTCAATCCATAAACGAGAGCATCAATACAGACGTACTCTCTCGATAGTTTTGATCCACGTGCGTTCGTCGACCGGTCGACGGTTATTTCTTTTTCAGCACGAGGAGACGGGAATGAAATCAAGCGCGTTTATGGGTTAGTTAAGTGGAATAATTACGATTACGGTCACGATCACAGTCACCACATTCATCAACACAGTGATATCATCACAGTTTTATCCAAGATATGAATCGTCGAAGTAACGAAGAATAGGGAATCGAATCGAAATTTATCTTCTAAAGGAAGAATCGTTGGTCGATGATTATTCCACGATCGTTTCCTTGCAACGGTGCGAATCGTCGATAGATTTGGAAAGAAGGGAGATTTATCTGCATCGAGGAGGAGGAGGAGGAGGAGGAGGAGAAGGAGAGACGGAAGTGAGAAGAAAAGGTGGCGAGATCGGGCGAAAAGCAAAATCAAAAGGGGAAGATCGACGTCAGTAATGAGACAGGGAAAGGAAAACTGTTGAAAGGCAGTCGCGAGACAGGGGCAGTGCCGTATCCTGGGGGCCCAGGGTATGCGCAAGATCTATTAATAACTTGTAATACAGTAGTAGTGGGGCGCTGTCCGCTAGCGGGTGAAAATAGAAAAGAATGTTTTTGGAATCCAATTGGACTTGGTTGGCCGAACGATGGGGCAATATGGCCGACTTGGCCGAGCGGGTGGACGATCTGATATGCAGTTTCGACTCGTCTGGTGACACGACCATGGATACCTTATCGATGCTCATATTCGGCTGGATGTTGTTCGGATTGATGGTACTGTGTGTCGGCAAATACGTTTACAATCGATTCGTTTTAAACGGGCTCAGTTCTGGGACAATAGTTACCGCCAAGGACGGCCATATCGTCCACGGTGATAGCGTCGGTGTCAGTGGTGGTGGTGCTGGTGGTGGTGGTGGTGGTGCCGGTGGTGGTGGTACTGGTGGTGGTGGAGGTGGTGGCGGTAGTGGCGGCAAATTGCTTTTGCTTGGCAAGCAAAAAATCGTTTCGGGGACCGGGGCAGGTGGTGGCGGCGCCGGTTCCGGATCGCTCGCATCCGTTGCTCATCCGGCCGGTGGTGGTGCCGCCGGTCCAACTTCCGGCACCTCGCCTTACGTCCCGCCGACACCTCCTGTCCGCAAACGTCTCACGAGGAAGACATCCGGCGCTTTGATCAGCCCGGCGAGGAGTAGCAAAAGTTTGCATCTACCGACGGCAACCGGTGCCGATCCCGATGCTGTCCGCTGGGTTAACGAGGTTATCGTTTGGCTCTACTCGGATCCAGCGATTTTGGACGAGCTGTTGGCCGTTTGGGTCGCGTCTCTCAATCAATTTACCGCCAACTCTGTCGACGAGGTGAGAGAGAAACCTGATCTCTACGATGTGTAATATGTAAAATAATAACAATATTTTCTTATATTGAAACGATGGTCGAATCGAAAAAAAGAAAAAAAAAAACGAATCAGAATTTAATCCGCAGTGAACTTTGTTCGATCGACAAAGTGTTCATCGCGTGTAAGACAACAACCGGCTAGACTAGATAAGACTACGCAATCTTCTCGCGTAGGTGTTTCTTGAGCAACGAAAACACCGCCTCAACGCGTTTACGAGTTATTGTCGGACAATTTTACCGACGAGGTCCTAGGAATTAGCTTTTAAGTTTAGTCAAATTATACACGAGCTTATAGTTGGCTCACTTATTATAAATTCCTACATTGAGCGAAACGTTTTGTTTCAGCTAATGAAAAAAAACTAACCAACTCTTCCTTTCCTTTTCTTTTTCGAAAAAAATTTCCACGAAAAAAAATTCATTCTCTTCACTCTGCGCTCTTCTCCTTATTTGCAGCACGGAGTCGGGGTCGAATTCGTTCGAGTTTTACCTGAAACCCATCCACCGAATCTCTCCAACATTTTTTGCGAATGCGACTCGAAGGACGACGTGGTACGTATTCGAAGGATCGACCCACCTTTCGATCCGTCATCTCGCCGACACATTCTCGAATCTGTTTCGTTTCAGACGATCACGTGCGATTGCGAAGCCACTCCAGCCTTACAGTTAAAAGCATTCCGCCGGAAAGCTGAGAAACTCGAAGTAAGTCACTATCGAGTGAACGTGAACCGTTTCCGCGCCCGATTGAACGTCATCTGTATCACGGAGAAGCTTCTCCTCGACTTGAAGTGCGACGGCTGGCCGGACGTTAGTATTTTTTCGCTCTTAATTTTTGCCTCTCCCCTTGAGAAAAAATTCTCAATGCCAATATTTCGCAAATTTTACGTTATTAGGTGAAAGTTTCATTGGCCCAAGTGGGCACGATAAAGAAAGATCTGGACGAGAGCCAGTTGCAGGAGGTCGTAACGGAAATCGTGATAGGAGCGTTAAGGGGGATCAATGTCCATCTGAATTTGTTCCAATATCCGAGCTGTCCACGGTTATGGAGGGAACCGGCGAGCACCCAGCCAAGCTTCTCGATCCCTATGCACTACGACAACGTGGTGAGCGAATTCATATTCACTCGCTCAATTTTCATTGAGGAATTCTTTAATTATTAATATTCGTTTTCTTCTTCGCAGCATACGTCGAGCAGCTCGCTTCAAAGCTCGCGGCAACGGCTTCAGACTCAGAGCCCGACCCTGTCTCAAAACCAGTACGTGGTCAGCGACAGGCGGTTGCTCGTCAAAGTGGCGAGAGCCGCGGAATTGGGCGGAGAGCAAGGCGCCGTGGAACCGTATTGCGTCGTCGAATTGGACGAGCCTCCTCAAAAGAATCAAACGTCCGTGAAGAAGGACACTAGAAACCCGTCGTGGGACGAAGCGTTCTTATTGTGAGATTCTTATTTAGAGGGAGAACCCGTCTCGATCAACGGCGTGTTTTAATTGTTCGAAATTAATGTTTTCCAGCGATGTTAATCGGAACACGTCGGAAGTATTGTTGGAAGTTTACGATCGCGCGAACAAATCGCAACGATTCTTAGGCCTGGGAATCGTGGGGATCGACGAGCTTCTCGCGAATCCGAGTCAAAGGCAGATAATACCTCTTCAAAATCGGCCCTACGAGGAAGAAGATATTACCGGCACCCTGACCGTTGAGGTAAGTAATATACAGAGCATAGAAACGACGATGAGTGAACGTTTAAACGTGGTATTATTTAAAAAAAAAAAAAAAAAAAAAAAAAAGAAATGTTCAATTTTGCTACGCCATTGTTTTGCCTTTTCTCTTTCGCGTCGTTTCATTCGTTTCTTCCTCTTTCGCTCTTTCTCTCCTCCTTTCTTTTCTTTCTCTCTCTCTCTCTCTCTCTCTCTCTTTTCTCAGTTTCTATTCATCGAGGGTGCGGAGGTGCCTCAAATTGGGAACAAACCTTACAAGGTGAAGGAGACGATAAAGCCGGTGTCACCGACTCCTCGTACCTACACCCCGACAAATCTCATCAGCGACAATAATCTAAATTACAACAATGGTAACAGCACACTTATCTTGTACGACTCTACCGTTCAACCCGAAGGGGGTAATTACTTATTACTTTATCTGAAAGGCATTGCATTCGTGTTCACAAGTGTGAATTATACGTAGCGATACCTCGTTAGTATTACGTATTTCCTCCTCTTCACGCGTTTTTTCTCGCGTGGCCGTCACAACGTGGGGCCCCGAAGAAGCCATTTTTATTGTTGTTTTTTTTAACAATAATAGATCCCCTTTTTCTCACGTAGAAGAAAAAGCACGTAGAAGAGCGTAGATTATATCGATCGTGTAAAACTTCCAACTTCCAAGTATTTTTTTTTTTTTTTTTTTTTTTTTTTTTCCGAAGAAATTTGGTTTCTCCTTTCTTCACGGTGCCCGTGCTCTCCGCTATCACGTAGTGCAATTCGCATGATATATTGCAAACATATATAAAAATTCTTTGCCTCTTCCACCCTCTCCCTCCCCTTTTTTTTTTATTTCCATTCCGTTCTTAGGTAACGATTGGCTTTAACGATTGCCCCCCTGCCCCCCTAGCACGATATGATGCGATTTTACGCTCACCTCTACGGACGAATTCGACAATTCTTCAAAGTTATTTCGACTACCAGAGGAACGAGCCTGGCAGATCGTAATGACAGCAATACGCAACGCTTGCATAATCGCACGGCCGCGTTTGCCAGACGCGGAAAATTATCTGGTAGACGAAATGATGGATGCTTGGTAGAACGTTGGACGTAGAAAGTCGATGAATCTTATTAAATTATAAATATATATATATATATATATATATATTTTATTTTATTTTTTTCTCTCTTCATTAATCGAAAGGAGGAGAGAAAAATTTTTAAAAGAACGATCGATCGTAATTCGCAGATTACCTAACGAACGGGAACGTGGTGGACTCGCCTTACAGAACCGGTCAAAGCAACGGGAATAAAGGAACGTTGATAGTGCACAGCCAGCAAAGGGTAAATAAATGCACGCACGCATTTCCATATAAATTATGTATACAAATTTTTTCTTCACGTATTACTACTAACACTGTATTTTGATTATTGTCTATTTTTTTTTTGTGGTGTCTTCTTTTTTTTTTTTTTTTTGCAGCAGCCAGAGCGGCAGATAGTTAAGGTAAGCTTGACGTCGTGTCGTCCCACACATACACATACACGCACACGCATCGTGTCATCGACGTGATCTCGCCGGTTTCGGATCGAAAACTCGTGCACTCGTGTCTTTCCAATCCTCCTTTCTTCTTATTATTATTACACACGTTGTTGTCTCTAATTTGCGATTCCAGTAAAATGAAAAATCGCGTACTATTTTTTTTTTCTTTTTTTTTTTTCTTTCTTCCCTTTCGCGATCTTTTCTCGAGAAACTTCCTTTCATTTATCGCAACTTTTCCTTGCCGCATTTAAGAGCCGTATGGAAATCAAGCAATGCCTTGCGTTTTACGAGAACACTAATTATCGTCAGTTGAGTGGCGTGTTGTTTACTAATTTCACAGGTCGCCCTAACGGAAAGTGGGAACTGGCAAGAGATATCTCCGGAGGTAATTATTCTCCTTGTTACGAGATATTTGTTTTTTTTCCCCCTCCTTTATCCTACGTTGTTTTTGTTAATAGTTTCTTATCATTGAACTTATTATTTACTTCTCGTAAATAATGAGGAAAGAGCGTATGATATACTATACAATTGCCTGTTTCATAATTGCAATATTTCAATTATTAAATTTCTACGAGATCTAATTATACGCCCTTTTTCTAAATTCAATCGAAGCTAGTTATATTCGAAAACAAAATCTTTTTTAAAGAAAACTCTGTAACCGATGCTCGCAAACCATAACCTTAACTACCTGTGTATAAACAATTTAACAACTTCCTTCGTTTCAGCATGGACCGAAAGATACAAGCGTGACGTCGGGACCGGAAAGCACACCGAATTCTTCCAATTCCGAAGGTAATTTTACCGCATGATTTTCTTCTTTCTTTTTTTACCACGTGTACGCAACGTATAGGAATCTTGGTATACGAGTCGTGAACCATCGCGTGTCATTTTTTAATTATTGTAGAGAGGGGAAGAACGAGAAGAAAACGTCGAGATTTCTTTGGCACGATAAAGAAACGGCTGAGTCGATCGAAGACGAGAAGCAGATCGGTTGGACCGGAAGGCGATGCGAATCACGAGGATCCACACTCCAGATCTATATCCGCGGACAGGGCTCGCGATCCTGGCTCGGGTACGTTTGCCCATCCAATCTTTAAACTTCGCGAAATCTATTCTCTTCTTGATTCAGTTAGCCGCCTTTCTCCCCCCTCCTCCAATATATAGTTCAAATAATTCAAATCGTTCAAGCGTGAAATTCTACTTTGTTGTTGTTTGTTTTGCGCACGAATTCATCCAACGATGCACGATGGTCGGTGAGTACGAGATGACAAACGACGATACGATGCAATAGAGAGCATATTTTAAGGAGGCTTGGCAAATGGAAAATCCTGCTCGATCGAGGAATCGCGAAAAGAAAATCATTGCGATGCTAATAACCGCTGCCAATGCAAATTTCCTCTCTGCCAATAACGCTACTACCACGCTAGACTAACTTTACGAGGTGCAAACGACCGTTTCGCTTGAATTTTATAGCTCGTTTATCGATACCAGGGAGGGAGGAACAATCGAGGAGATCGAGTTTGAGCGAGGCATCCGGTATAAGCGGGGCGTCGACCAAAACTTACATTAACGAGGCTTCTACATTGGTCCTCGAAACGCTCGAGAACGGTATCAAAAAGTAAACAACGTAACATTTTTATCTACATCACGCATCATTTAACGCGTTATTCGAAGCGGCGACGTTTGTTTTGATGCGCGTTATTTTTTGCTTTTTCAGGCATTACCTAGTACCGTTGTCGCTCGCACAAAAAAGTAAATGGCGAAAGAAGGGCACAAAGCTTCATATATTTAACGATCACACTTTTATAGCGAAACACATGGCTGGGTAAGTATTGACCATCGGGCAATTGCAATGCGAGTGGAACCAAGTGTGGAAAGTGACGCGAAATATTTCGTTTCAGAGGGACAGTGTGCGAAGTGTGCAAGAGAACGCTTGCGCGGAGATTAGGCAAACAGGGTTACGAGTGTAGAGACTGTCAAATGAAGTGTCACAAGCATTGCCATGTCAAGGTAGAAACTACGTGTCCCACGTCTACGATTCAAAGCATCGAATTGTAAGTAGTATCACTATTTTAACGAAATACATATATTACGTTAAATTTTTGATCGAATCGTTGATTCTGAAAGAAAAAAATAAAAAAAAAAAAATAATCCGCGGAATTACGAGCTAATATTATCTTTTTTTTTTTTTTAAATCTGATTATCACGTAAGGTCTCTTCTGCCAGTACTCAGTGAATAGAACGGGTAAGTTCTCTAAAAAAATAAGGAAATTATTGGTACTCTCATATCATAATCATGTAGTTGCGCATGAAGAATCAATTTTCCTGCTCTTTTTTTTTTTCTAAACAATCGCAATGACGAGTGTTAATTCTTTTTTTTTTTTTTTAGTTTCGAACGGTCTAATCGTAGTGTTTTGCAACAATTGTAAAACGCACGTGCTTCGTTCAGCCTTTCCCTCGTACGTTTTATAAATACTAATCGTTTGCGGTGTTCGTATACGTATATATACGTAAAAATAAAGAACAACGCTTCGTTCATATTTTTTTATACATTTCTTTTGCGCCTAATAAATAATTCGTTTGCCTTATTTACGATAGATGCTTTTTTTTTTATTTACAACAGATACTTTTACTTAAGCCTTTAAAATTGTTTCAACTTTAATTAAAAAACTATTTTTGCTTTCTTTTGTTCGCCTTTTCATTTTATCAATTTTAAACGATAGCGGCCTAAAAAATCATTTTAGCAGCTAATATTTATTGCAATTCATAATGATAATTATTGTAAATTATCTATATAGATACGATAGATTATACGATCGAACCATTAAATAGAAATTTTGGATTGTTTTTTTAGAACATGCATAAAAGTTCCACGAGCTGAGCGCAGATCGACGAATCGGTTGTGCTGATCAACACTTGAACGAATGCCTTCGAATAAATTAAAACGTTTCATCCTACTTGGGGGACTCATGTCGAAGAAATTTCCTTTGTTGAAATTATCCTTCGAATCGCTTCGTACGTAGCCGCATATATCCGCGAGAGGGAATCACGCTACATACAAATTGATATTTACACGACATTGTAGACAATCTTGAGCAAAGCAAAGCCGCGAGCTTTTGTTTAACGATAGGCGTTAAGATTTGCACGAAGCGGCTTTGAACGTCGTAGCACCGTTCCGTTATTCGCTATTCTTATTATCACGCCTTTTAATCTATACACGAAATTAATAATACACGAACACGTGAACACGTGAAAACGAAGAAGCGAACGAAACGAAACGATATAAAAAAAAAAAAAGTGATAAATAAACTTTCTTCTAGAAGCAGCATGTTCTTCGATTCGAAATAGATAATAATCATACCTATGAAACAAATATGAAATAGATGAAATGTTCGCGACCAATAGATAAAATATCTATACTATTTACTATTTATTCTTAATAATAGTTCCCTTGTTCCCTTTCGAATTTTCACGAAACTTTTTACACTTAAAAGAACGTCCGATTTTTTCTATTGACTTGTATAATCTTAAGCCTTGAACAAT